AAAACTGTAAACATGTAACACGTAATGTACCATATAAAAGATAGAAAATCACCATTTAATATAGGTAATGGGCATTGGGGAAAACTGTAAACATGTAACACGTAATGTACCATATAAAAGATAGAAAAGCACCATTTAATATAGGTAATAGGCATTGGGGAAAAACTGTAACCATGTAACACGTAATGTACCATATAAAAGATAGAAAATCACCATTTAATATAGGTAATAGTCATTGGGGAAAACTGTAAACATGTAACACGTAATGTACATATAAAAGATAGAAAATCACCATTTAATATAGGTAATAGGCATTGGGGAAAAACTGTAACCACGTAACACGTTAGAAGTGTGGAATGTCACAGGGTGGAAAACTTAAGAGTTTAGGGTTTTAGAACATAGAAATAAATATGAAGGAAGATGGAGGTTTTAGGGCTGAGGCAGGTTGTTCTTCTTCACCTTCTTCTTCCTTCTTCTCCATGGCTTTGGGGGATCAGTTATTGAGTTAAAAGTGAAAATAATCCAGGTGTCATTTCTTAATTGAAATTTAGTCTTAACAGACCTCATAACAAGAGATCGTTGGGCATTTTGTGCCAGGTTAATGAAAGACTGCAGAACTCCCTGCTGTGAGGCTGGAACACTGATAAGAAACAATAAACACCCGAGTCCATGAACCACCACCCGAGTGTGGCAGCAGCTCTCTGGCCACAGAGAGCAGGCACAGACTGCCCCAGGCATTTTCCTGGGGAAAGCTGTGAGGGAAATCAGAGAAAACAACCACAAACAATTCCTATCTCCACTTGTTGCACTGCTGTCGTGCACATGTGGAATGTGTCATGGAGATTTGTGATTTCTTAATTGGACACTGGATGGTGTTTGGGTTGATTGACTAATTAGGTCAAAGCTGGATTGCACTGGCTGGAAGGGTTCCCGAGTTTCTTAATTAGTATAATATAATATGAAATGACAAAATAAAGTAATTGATCAGCTTTCTGCAATCATGAAGTCAATGCTAATTATTACCTGTGACAGGCACATTCTTGTCTCTCTCAGGATTTTTTCATAGAGGAGCACAGAGAGAAGGAAGAGAAAACAATTTCTATTTCTTCTCCTTGTTTTCTTATCTGGAATGTGTTTGGAGAATTGTTTACCTGGGGTGATGCTTGGTTGGATTCTGGTGAGAATTGTTTAAGCCTGGTGGCCAATCCAACCCACCTGGGGCTGGGCTCTCAACAGAGGATTTTGAGTTGGGAGTTAGTTAGATTTGGTAGTTAGTGTAGATTCGGTATTTCATTTAAATAGTATATTAATGTATTTTAGTATAGTTATAATAAAGAAATCATTCAGCCTTCTGAACTGGAGCCAGACATCATTTCTGCCCACTGGCTCACCTGCATTTGCAATAATCTCCCAGCTGTGGTGGCAGTGGGTGACCACTTCTGAGTGAGGCTGAATGCTGCCTGGGTTTTTGATGCCACCTATTGTAAATGCAGGCAAACCCAATGGGAAGAAATGCTGATGTCTGACTCAATTCAGAAGGCTGAATGATTTCTTTATTATAACTACACTAAAATATATTAATACACTATATAAAAGGAGGATACTAAGACTACATACTATTTTTTGACTCTAACTCTCAACTTGTGACCCTCTCTCTCTCGAGTCCAGCCCCAGGTGGATTGGATTGGCCATCAGGCTCAAACAATCCTCACTAGAATCTAATCAAGTACTCACTTTAGGTTTTAATTTCTTTATTACAACTATGCTAAAATATATTAATATACTATGTAAAAGGAAGATACTAAGACTACATACTGTTTTTTCTGACTCTTAACTCTCTCATCACTCATGACCCTCTCTCAAGATCAGCCACAGTGGATTGGATTGGCCATCAGGCTCCAACAATCCTCACCAGAATCTAATCAAGTACTCACTCTAGGTAAAAAATTCTCTAAATATATTTTACATAAGAAAAACGAGGAGCAGATACAGAAATTGTTTTCTCTTTCGTTTCTCTCTGTGCACCTCCATGAAAAATCCTGAGAGGGAGAGAAATGTGCTTGCCACAGCCAGCTCTGAGGTGTCAGAACATCTGCTGAGCCCTGCAGGGCACGGACACACGGACACGTCGGGGTGACCATCTCTGACCCACGGACTTCTTGTCATCTTTCTCAAGCCCCTGACCACAGTTTCTCATGATTATTCCTACCATTAAACAGTAATTATATTTAATTACTAACCAATCATCACATCTAACAATTATATCATTTATCATGTACTGGCTACACAGGTGCAATTCTAGCACCTGTTAAATGATGTATACATAAGTTACATATATTGTATATATAAATTATATATAAATATACATATATATATAAATTATATATAAATGAAATACCTTAGGCCTACATGTACCTAGGGTATTTATTTTTTTTTCAGGGCCTACTAAGCTTAATTTTCCTTTTACTCCTAAATCCCTATGATTTAAAAACCTTTTTACTATCAGTATCACTGTCAGGCACACACAGAATCACAGGATGTGATTCCATGCAGGTGCTTTTATTGGGAGCTCTGGGAATCAGGGCTACAGACCCAAATCTGACTCTGACACGGCTCTCGAGCTGAACGTGTTTTATATTCTATCCTTATATAACTTACATATTCATTATTCAGCTTATATTGTTCTATTCTATACATTGACTTTACCCAAACATGAGTTTCTCGTGATCTTTCTTTGACCACAGTTTCTCATGAATATTCTTACCATTAAACAGCAATTATATTTAATTACTAACCAATCATCACATCTAATAATTATATCATTTATCATGTACCGGCTACACAGGTGCAGTTCTAGCAAGTACAAGGTTTACACTTTCCCAGGGCATAATAAGCTTAATTTTCCTTCTAACCCTAAATCCCCATGATTTTAAACCCTTTTACTATCAGATCTCCTGGCAGACAAACTCGGGCTGACCTCCAGCCTTCCCTGGACACCTCCTGCCCTCCTGGAAAATCCATTTCCATGGGTGATACAATAAAATTTCTGGCTCAGGGAAGAAATGAAGATGTCTGGCTCTGTCTGAGTCCAGGACACCCCTCTGGCTGCCCTGGTTGTCTCAAGACTCCGGCAAGAAGTCAAAAAACATCTGTGGTTTCAAAGCTGCCAACTCCGGATGAGGAATAACAAGTCACAAAGGTTTTAGCAGTGTGATATTTAAACTGACAAAGGGTGGAAAAGTAGAATTTTGGGGTTTTTTAGAATGTAAGTCAGGGGTACAAGATGGAGGAATCTGGGCGCGTCCTAGCCTTTTTCTCTTTCTTGTCCTCCCATGACTTGCTGTGATCCCTCCTGGAACCGTGGGATCTCTCCTAGACTGTGGGATCCCTGCTGCTGGAAATGTGGGATCCTTCCAGGACTGTAGGATCCCTGCTGCTGGCACTGTGGGATCCCTCCTGGAACTTTGGGACAGCTGCTGGGATTGTGGGATCCTTTCAGGACTGTGGGATCCCTCCTGGGACTATGGGATCCTTCCTGGAACTGTGGGATTGTGGGATCCTTCCAGGACTGTGGGATCCCTCCTGCTGGCACTGTGGGACAGCTGCTGGGATTGTGGGATCCTTCCAGGACTGTGGGATCCCTCCTGGGACTATGGGATCCTTCCTGGAACTGTGGGATTGTGGGATCCTTCCAGGACTGTGGGATCCCTCCTGGGACTATGGGATCCCTCCTGCTGGCACTGTGGGACAGCTGCTGGGATTGTGGGATCCTTCNCTGTGGGATCCCTCCTGGGACTATGGGATCCCTCCTGCTGGCACTGTGGGACAGCTGCTGGGATTGTGGGATCCTTCCAGGACTGTGGGATCCTTTCAGGACCGTGGGATCCCTGCTGGCACTGTGGGATCCTTCCTGGAACTGCGGGATCCCTGCTGCTGGCACTGTGGGACAGCTGTTGGGATTGTGGGATCTTTCCTGGAACTGTGGGATCCCTGAGGATCATGTAATAACCCCTCCCAAGAAAAAAAAAAACAAAAACAGAAGGGTTTTGTTGAGTCAAGAGCCCCGTGAGTCACCATGGGGACAGATAAGGAACAGGAACACTCATCCCAACATGACCGGAACAACCGCCCTGGGGTGGGGCTTATGTAAGGAAATTAAAAATATACACACCAAAACTGTCACAATCCCTCCTGGAATGCCAGGGGGTGGAGCTTATGTAAGGAAATTAAAAATATACACACCAAAACTGTCACAATCCCTCTTGGAATTCCAGGGGGTGCAGTTCATGTAAGAAAATTTAAAATACACACAGAGAAACTGTCACAATCCCTCCTGGAATTCCAGGGGGTGGAGTTTATGTAATGAAATTAAAAATATATACACACTGTCACTTTTAACTCGTTTTAGCAGCTATTTTAAGTAAATAAAGGAATTTATAGGCTCGAGATCTGCACTTGGCAGTGTTTAGACTAAGATTATGGTATGGGTTTAAATCTGAGTTAAACCCAGTTTATTTTAGGCTCCTGCTGGATTATTTGTGCCTTTGCATTCAGCCATAAAAAGGCACAAACTGGAGTGTCAGCACCTCTAAAATCAGGATCGATTCCTCAAAAACTCTGCTACAGGACAAACATTCCTGGAAGCAGGAAAAAACATGGAAATGCACAAAAAGTGCTGCTCCATCCCTAGGATTTATTAGCACAAATTAGAGAAGGGTGTCTGTGCTGCAGGGAACTTCCAAGCTTCCCAGAAAACAGGAAAATCTGGAATTCCACAAGGGTTCGAGCCAGGAAAATTTGGAATTCCACAAGGGTTTGGGCCAGGAAAATGTGGAATTCCACAAGGGTTTGGGTCAGGAAAATGTGGAATTCCACAAGGGTTTGGGTCAGGAAAATGTGGAATTCCACCAGGGTTTGGGTCAGGAAAATGTGGAATTCCACCAGGGTTTGGGTCAGGAAAATGTGGAATTCCACCAGGGTTTGGGCCAGGAAAATGTGGAATTCCACCAGGGTTTGGGCCAGGAAAATGTGGAATTTCACCAGGGTTTGGTTCATCCCATTCCATGAGGGACACTTCCCACTATCCCAGAGTGGTTAGGATGAAAAGCTGACCCCAAAAATCAGAGGATCCAGGAATTCCCTGATCCCAAAAATCCGTGGGAGCAGGGCCAGCAGGTGCCACGTGCCCTCCCAGCTGAGCTGAGGCCGAAGTGCAGCCAAGCCAAAGCTTTTATGGCTTCAGGAGCAAAACGCTGCAGGATTCCAGCGGGGAACCGCCCTGAGCTGGCTGGATAACCCCAAAATTTCCCGGGAATGTGCCTGGCCTCTGCTTTAGGAGCTGTTACATCAGCCCGTCCCCACCTTGCAGCCTTTTTACATCAGTCGGAGCCACAATTCCCGAGGCTCTGACGTCATTTGGGATATTGCAGCCAGCTCATCCCTTCTTTCACCACAGCTCCGACAGCACCTGAGCCCAAAATTCCTGCTGGAATCGCAGCCCTGCCACTTGGGAGTGCTCCAAATTAATTATTCATTGAAATTAAGGGAGAAAATAAATGTATCTGCTGTAAAAAATACAAAAGAATTGCAAATATTTGCTGTTCGCACGATTTGTTCCACCACTGGATTGCACAGGGATTTGGCATTCAAGTCATTCCTCATCCAAATGTTTGAGGTATCCACCTGGAACATCTGCAGCACCATAAAATTTAGAATAAATTCCTGTTTATCCGCATCCCAGCACAGGCATTATTATTATTATTATTATTATTATTATTATTATTATTATTATTATTATTAATACTATTTCCCAAATTATTTTAAAAAATCAAGTTAATCTGGGCTCAAAAGTCCAGTTTTTGATTACATCCTTTCTATAAATAACTACCTCATAGATAACTACCCCATACTTATAATTAATATAATTTATAATATTTGTTATGTTGTTATGTTGCTATGTTGTGTTGTTATGTTATGTTGTTATGTTATGTTGTGTTAGATATAACATAATTTAATGTTATACTGTTTAATAACATCTATTGGGATGATTTATATGGGAATCTCAGTTTACTTCCAGAACACTCAACAAGTCCATTTGGGTTAGAAAAAAAAAAATCCTGAAAATTTTTCGGTTTCAGGTCCTAAATAACTTCCTTTTAAGTGGTGCTTTTCAGGGAAACTCCTCACAGCTCTGGAGTTAAAAAATTTCCACCCCAGCCCTGGAGTTTCTCTGACGTCGAAACCGTAAGAGAAAATAGAACAGAAATTACAACTCAAAACAGAAAGCGAACTCGGGACTCCATAGAGAAAAAAAATTCTCTGCCCCGGTCGTCAGCGCGTCTCAAAATTTCCCATCACGTGCCAAGGATGAGGCGCAGCATTCCAGGGAAATGATCAGCACATATGGAAGCACGATCTGGAACGCTGACCTCACCCCCACTTGGCGCAGTGTGGGGTTTGTTGTTTTGTTTATTCCGGTTTTTTTTTAACAATCCCAAAGCAGAAAAGTATTAATAAAATGTATACCTTTTTCCGCTTGGAACTCGCAGTTTTCTCTCTGCTCTGCCCCAATTCAGTGCTCCCGCAGTTGTGTTTTTCCAGCTGTACCCTACACACGGAGAAATGCTCCGAGGTGACAGAAGTCGCCCGCTCTGCCCCTGGGAAAACCGGCGTGCCTTTTTTCTCCGCTGTCTGAAAGGCCGCCGTGAAATTCAGAGGGTTATAGGGATCGTCCGAGCTACAGAACGAGTTCCAAAGTTTCAAGTTTTCCGCCTCATCCACGCTCTCACAGTCCCACTCGTCCTCCTCGCAACTCGGAGAGCCCTCGGAGGACTCTGCCCACGAGTCTTCCTCCTCCTCCTCCTCCTCCTCCTCCTCCATGTCCGACATTCCCTTTCCCGGCTCGCTGGAAGACGTCTGGATGGTGGCTGTGAAGTTCTGAGGGTCGTAGGGATCCAAGCTGTAGAAGGAATTCCACAGATGAAGCCTCTCCCCGTCCTGGCTGCCGGCGTCTGAGTCCGAGGGCAGCTCTTCGCTGTCAAACCCGTCATCATCATCATCATCCTCATCATCCCAATCTTCCTCATCCTCACTCTCCTCCCCACTGGATACTCCGCCGATGATATAATCGATTAATTTATTCCCACAGGCAGGTCTGGTGGAAATTGTGAAGTTTCGCTCCGCTGAGTCCTCACATTCCTCTGCAGCCAAGCCTTCCTCCGCCGCACGGCGCTGCCCCACGGGGACACCTCCGGGCTGTCTCGCCGCATCCTCGGGGCGCTGCAAACCCTCGCTACCCGCGACCTCCCGGCAGACACCCCCATGCTGCTGCTGCTGCTCCTCCTCCAGGCTGTGGTAGCCGTGGTCGGGCTCGGGCACGGGCAGCTGCCAGCGCTGGAGGAACGCCAGGCGCTTGCTGCGCAGGAACTCCGCCTCAGGCAAGCCCTCGGCTCGCAGGGGCTGCGGCAGGTGGCTCCTGCCCTGCTCCAAGCCCAGCACGTACCAGTCCATGCGAAGGGCGCCCGGGCTGCTCCGCATTAACCGCGCTCCCCACATCCCCGCCGGGTGCTCCGCGCCGCCCTCCAGCCGCTTCTCCGGGGCTTCCTCCGAGGCGTCCTTGGGCGGCGGCGGCGGCGGCGGCTTGGCGGGGCAGAGCGCGGAGCTGAGCGCGGGGCCGGGCAGCAGCCGCTGCAGGAGGGCGGGCAGCGGCGGCAGCAGCTGCGACACGGCCCGCAGCCACGAGAAGGGCGGGCTGGCCTGGGATGAGCCCGCCGCGCCGGGCGCCGCCAGCTTCGGCCAGGCCGCGGCCAGCCCCAGGCGCGCCCATCCCAAACCGGGGCGCTCGCCAGCGCGGTGCTCCATGAGGGCGTTCAGCGCTGCCAGCGGTGCGGAGGGGTGTGTGGAGCGGCGCTCCGTGGCGGGGCGGTGAGGCTGAGGGCTCGGCGGGCGGCGGGCAGCTCCGGCGAGGGTTGCGACTCCATCCTGAGGCAGCTTCAGCACAAAATGGCGGCGCCGCCGCCGCCTCAGCGCTTCCCGCCCCCAGAGGGAGGGGCGGGGCCTCCGTCGCCCCGCCCACTTGGCGTCTCAGCCTCCCATTGGGCGGTGCCGGCGGGGCCACGCCCACCACGTGTGGCCACGCCCCGCGGGGATTGCATCAGCCGGCGCGCGGCGCGCGGCAGCGCCCCCTGGCGGCGCGGGGGGAGCGGGGGGCGCCCACCCGGGCTTGGTCCCGGGACACTTCGGGGACACTTTGGGGACACTCTGGGAACCCCTTGGGGACACTCTGGGGACCCTTTGGGAACCCCTTGGGGACACTCTGGGGACACTTTGTCAGCCCCAGGGACAGCGCAGGGTGAGGAGCGCACTGGGACAGAAGCTGGCGGGTTCTGAGTGTTGAAGGAGGCGTACCCCAGACTCCCAGGGCTCCGCGTTCTAGAGGGTGCGGTGGCCAGATGTGTGCCCAGATGTGCGGGCAGATGTGCCACCCCCTGCCTTTCACCCCTTTTTCAATCCCATTCCCGTGTTCCAAGGTCCCGACACCGGAGGGTCCCAACTCGCCCAGCCTCGAGAAGCCAGCCCGCCCCCCACGCCCCAACTTGCCACCAGAGCCAATATTTAAAACTTTTAATATAAAGGTTAAAGTTAATTATTCTCGATCCTGAGAAACATTTCGTCCGTTTACGGAGCTGTCGCTGTAAACAAAGCACCACAGGCACCAAGCCCGCACCCGGGGGCAGGCAAGAAGGACACAGATGTCCCCAGGACACGGGGACAGCAAGGGTGGCCGGCAGCCACACGGAATGGACAACTCGCCACGCCGCTCTCCTTTGGGAGCGAAACCCCGGGGTGGGAATTGCCCAGTTCCTTGGTGCCCCGGTGCTCACGCTACTCGTTATTAAAAAAAATTTAAAATAAGGATATCCCAAAGGAAGAAATCACCCCCGAACCGCCCCGCGCCCCGCCCTCCCCGCGTTGCTCCCTTGACACAAGGTAAACTTTAAAAAAGAAGCCACCAGGGCAGCGCCCTTTTGGGGACACACCCGGGGGTCCCCGCGGGGGCTCAGAGGGTGCCGTGGCCGCGGGAGCCCAGGGCGAACCAGCCCATCTTCTCCTGGGCCAGGTCCAGGTCGCGGAGGCGAATTCCCACCTCCCCCAGCAGGATATTCTCCCAAAATCCTTCCTCGCTCAGCACGCTCAGCCGCAGCTCCCGCTGCTCCAGGTCCCCCCGGGGGATCCCGTCGTACACCAGCTGTGGGACACAAAGGGGACTATTGTTAATGTAGGTGAACCCAATGGGAAGAAATGATGATGTTTGACTTAATTTAGAAAGCTGAATTATTTCTTTATTATAACTATGTTAAAATAGATTAATATGTTATATAAAAGCAGGATACTAAAACTATATACTACTTTCTCTAACATAATTTGTGACCCTCTCTCAAGAGTTTAGACACAGGTGGATTGGATTGGCCATCAGGCTCAAACAATCCTCACTAGAATCTAATCAAGTACTCACTCTAGGTTTTAATTTCTTTAATATAACTATGCTAAAATATATTAATATACTATATAAAAGAGGGATACTAAGACTACATATTATTTTTTCTGACTCTAACACAGCTGGTGACCCTCTCTCAAGAGTCCAGCCCCCGGTGGGTTGGATTGGCCATCAGGCTCAAACAATCTTCACTAGAATTTAATTAAGCAATCACCCCAGGTAAACAATTCTCCAAACACATTCTACATAGGATAAACAAGGAGCAGAAATAGAAATTGCTTTCTCTTTCATTTCTCTCTGTGCACCTCTATGAAAAATCCTGAGAGGGAGAGAAATGTGCTCGCCACAGGGGACAAACCCTCAGCCACGGCCACCCCGTGGGGACGCCCCAAATCCATCCCGGTGCCTCCTACCATCTCGTTGTAGGTGGGGTTGCAGGTTTTTCGGGCCACTTTGGTTTTTCTCTTGGTGGTTTTTTGGGGGTCGGGCAGCAGGTAGGTTTTGACGTAGGGGTCGGGGTCGTTGCCGTCCTGCAGGGGTGGCTGCGGGGCAGAGTGAGGACGCGCCGTGAGCGCAGGGAGGGGACAGCTCCCCAACCCCGCTGCCGTGGGCGCCGCGGTCCTACCAGCCCTCGGATGTGCATCACCATGATGAAGAGCTTGTTGTTCTTGTAGGAGATGGAGAGCTTCACCTCCCCGCCGACCTTGCCCAGGGATCGAGCCCACGTGGCGTCTGGAGAGGGGCACAGGAGGGATGGGACACCCCTGATGTCACCCCCCAAAATCACCCCCCAAAATCACCCCGGATTCACCCCTTCCCCACCTGCCGGCTTTGGGGTCGGGTTGTTTCCAGCTGCCTTTTCATCCCGGGGCAGGGGGTGGAAGAAGGTGTAGATGAGGTCACACTGCAGGGTCAGGAGGTGACATTAGCGGTGACAGCAGTGACAACATCACGCGCTGATGCTCTACGAGCTGCGCTGTCCCCAAGCCTTCCCCACCTTGCTGGTGGCCCTGGCGCTGTCCCCACCTCCCTGCAGCCCCCACCCCGTGTCCCCACCTCTGCCACCTCGGGGGCGGCGTGGATCAGGTGCCAGATGTAGCCGTTGAGCTCCTCCTTGCGCCGCTCGGCCACCGCCTCGCCCCGCGAGCGCCCGATGACGAACCTGCTGGGGAAGCTGCGGGGACGGACACTCAGGAGGGTCCTGGGGGGGTTTTGGGGAGTCCCTGGAGGTCCTGAGGGATTTCAGGGGTACCTGGGCAGCAGCGAGGAGGGGAAGAGGAGGCGCAGTTTGTTGTGCAGCTCCTGGAACTCCTCGAAGGTGCGCTGCACGAAGGTGACCTCGCCCGGGTTGTCCCTCTGCACCTTCACCACGTAGGTCTGCAGAGAGGTGGGGACGTGAGGTGGGACGGGGAGCTGGGGCGCCCCAAGCCCAGCCTGGGCCCGTCCCCAGCTGTCCCCACTCACGTAGCCCTTGCTGGGGTTGAAGACCCTCTCGTGGCGGCAGAGGAAGACGTCGCGGATCCGGCCGGACGTTTTGAGAGTGTGCGTGCGGGGCGCGAAGGACAGCGTGGGCCGAGCGTCCGAGCCCGTGAACTTCATCTGCGCCAGGTTGTGGATGAAGAAGTTGAGCTTGGTGGCCACGCTGCCCAGGCTGGACTCGATCAACCTGCAAACAAGGCCACCGTGTCATCAGTGCCACCATCCCAGGGACCCTCCAGCCGCTGCTGCGTCACCCACCCGCGTCCCCTACCTGGTGAAGTAGGTGGTGGCGTCGGCATCGGAGTCCTGCGGCCTCAGCGCGTCGTAGACGTACTTGAGGTCCTCCAGGTCGGAGAGCTCGGGGATGCCACAGGAGAGCATCTGGCAGGGATGAGGACAGCGGCGAGGACAGTGGTGAGGACAGGGGACAAAGGGACCCTTGGTGCCACGCTGAGGGGAATTTTGTGGCCCCTCGGCTCTCACCAGCCCCAGCAGGTTGAGGAAGAGGTGGGTGTGCTTGCGGATCAGGTTGTAGGCCTGGCAGCACAGGTCCACGAAGTCGTGGAAGCGGCTGGAGGGCTTGTCCCCGCCGTTGATGACGTACGCCATGTCCGAGGTGAAGACGAACGGCGCCCGGTCCCTGCGTGGGGGACGGGAGGGACAAAGTGAGCAGGGATGGAGGACGGGATGAGGAGGGGGAGAGGTCACCCACTGCCAGGACATGGAGAGGGACAGGTCACTCATAACCAGGATGAAGAGGGCAAGAAGTCACTGCCAACCAGGATAAGGAGAGGGAAAGGTCACCGACTGCCATCACATGGAGAGGGCAAGGTCACTCCCCACCAGGACAAGAATGGGAGGTCACTGTGGCCACCACTGGGATGACAGGGAGAGGTCACCCACCACCAGGACAAGGAGAAGGAGATGTCACCCACTGCCAGGACATGGAGGGGGCGAGGTCACCCACTGCCAGGACAAGGAGAGAAGGAGGTCACCTCCCACCAGGACAAGGAGAAGGGGAGGTCACTGTGGCCACCACTGGGATAACAGGGATCACCCACCACCAGGACATGAAGAAAGAGAGGTCTCCCACCACCAGGACAAGGAGAAGGAGAGGTCACCCACCACCAGGACACGAAGAAAGAGAGGTCTCCCACCACCAGGACAAGGACAGGGAGCTTCCCCCTTGGCAGGGATGAGGGCAGGAGGTCCCAGGGGCCTCTCTCACCTCTTGATGTTGCCGAACATCTGGGCGTGGCCCAGGAACCTGCCGAAATCGATGTGGAACATGTGGCCCGTGGTCTTGAGCATGATGTTGTCGTTGTGCCTGTCGCAGATGCCCAGCACGTAGGTGGCCACGCAGCAGCCGGCGCAGGAGTAGATGAAGTTTTCCACGGCCTGCGAGGAAGGAGGGAAGGACAAGGAGGAGGGATGGATACGATGGGAAGCAAGGGGCTGGTCCCTGGAATGGGGGACACGAGGAGCAGGGATTCTTCCTCACCTTCTCGTACTCGTCCTCCTCGGGGTTGTGTTTCTGCAGCCAGTCCGCCAGCGGCCGGTCCTTGAAGGAGCCGGTCACGCCGTGCTCCACCTGGATTTTCCGCAGGGTCTCGGCGTTGGGGATCATCTCCACCATGCCTGGCAGGTGGGACAGCAGGGTGAGACCCTTCCAACCCCAAGAACCACGACCCCGAGCCCCTTTGTCACCAACCCAACCGCTCCCCGCCCGTCACGGCTGTGTGACAAGGATGGGAGCCCAGGATGTCCTGGGCCATCCCCAGCCCCACCCGGAGCCCAGCGACCCCTGGGGACACCCAAACTCTGTCTGACCTCGCCCGCGGCCGGTGGAGAAGCAGCGGAAGATGACCATGCGCATGTCCAGCCCCTCCTGCACCCAGATCTTGTTCATGATGCGGATCATCTGCAGCGTCAGCATGTCCTGCCGCAGGTCATCGCCACACTGCCGGGCAAGAGCCACCAGAGCCATCAGGGCCAGAGGAGAACCATCAGAGCCAGGGGAGAACCATCAGGGCCAGGGGAGAACCATCAGAGCCAGGGGAGAACCATCAGGGCCAGGGGAGAACCATCAG